CTCCCCCCCCCCCATTTTAAGGCTCTTAGATACCCCATTGCTGCAAAACTATGGTGGTCAACTTGTAATATTTTAATCAGTCAGATTGTTTTTAGCTCCGATAAGAAACTCTCGACTGTTTGATTAATCTGATTGTTTAATAAATCTTTTTTGTATGGGCGGTCGTTTTTGGCCAATATATTCTACTGCCTTTATTATGCTGCCCTCATTCGAGCTTTCGAGATTACGAGAACTTGTTTTCTCACAGCTGCAGATTTAGCCTTTGTTTATGTAAATCTTAATAACAAAACGTTATTTTAACTCAACTTATTCAAACATCTGTATATTTTATGGACCTTTCTATCGTGTTCTTTCTAGTTGTTAGATCGAATTGAGTTGCTTACATGTATCTAGCATTCACAATCTCAATAAGTTGCTGAACCCAACACCCTTGTTCGTTCATTGGCTGTTCTAGTTAGGTTTATTACGTTAATATAGTGATTATTATACCAGAAATGGAAGAAAAGATAGAACTATTTATAATAAATAAATACAACAAACTTGATTTTATTAAGAAAAATATACATTATCACTTTGTAAACTTTTTATGGTAATAATTGGTTGATGAAGATGTGTATATTACCCTGGAAATAATTTCATGTACGCGCGTGATGTATGACGAATAAAGATGAATCTAAATCTGTCATCAGGGGCAAAGGCTATCTGTAAAATCAACTATTCGTAAAATCGACGTCTTAAATATATTTTCAATATATCTTAGCCAGCCGTGCGAATATCCGTTTTTGAGTTCAACCCGCCCGTGCTAATAACCTCAGCCGCAGGAAATTTCTCCCCAACTGCTCGCTGGTGCAATATATGACATTTGGCAAAGATTCAAAAATGTTTTAAATGGCTTCCCTTGAGTAGAGTTTTAAAATTCCTTTTCATTAGACATCAGGTAATAAAATTTCAGGATCTAAAAATAGATGATTCAGAAATTTCAAACGTATCTGGCTTTGCCAATGATATATGTTTCACCATACTTACAGTAAACTTATTGATTAAATTATAATTATAAATTGTACACTTAATAATTAAATATTTACCTTAATTCTCCTGTTTACTTGAATCTGAATCAGTCTGAATATGTTCTATGAACGTAGTTGAATAAATCTGATGTGGCATCTTGTCACATGACTGAATTTGCATTCAAGGAAACCAGAGGTGCAGTGATTTTGAACTGTGCGTTCATTGGCCCATATTAGTAGATTGAGTGGCGGATCAAGAAATTTGAAATAAAGGTGGCATTATGGTATAGATGACCTCAGCTCTGCTGTGGTTGGGACTGAGGTTAGAAAATATAAGGTTATGGCACCAGGCTCTAGATGGCCGGAAATGACATTCTCAGACTTCAATTTGAATATAATTTTCTTTTTTTCTCCATTATTTGAAATAATTATAACAAATTTAGTGTGGTTGGTCCGGGGCAGCTGGGCCCCCTTGAATCCGCCACTGGTAAATGTGAAGTTCATGGTATACAAAATGCATTATAAAATTTTTTTTTTACTGAAGAAAAGAAATTTTTGTTAAAGGGCTAGGCTTGAATGATTATAACATTATGTTTAATATTTGAGCATTGTAATTTATTTTGTTTGTATATAATATGTAAATATATACATAGACAAGTTTATGATAGAACATCAGAGGAGTGCGAACTTGTTTACGTTATACTTTTATTCCATTGCAGCAGAGTTGACTACACTACTAAATAATACGCATTAAATAATATATACAATAATAAAACAAAAACAATGATGCAAAAATGCTGAGTTAGACAGTAGAACAAAAAATATGTATATGTATTATAATACATATAAAATATATTTCAATATGTTTGTACTTTCTTGTGCAGTGTTCCATTTACAGATTATATGCTTTTGTTAGAATTATTTTGATGTTCATTGACATGTAATATTAATGTGTTTCTGTTGAAGTATGTTTACCCACATAATAGAAACCTCTAAATAAACAATATACTACAGTTAATAATATAATTCTATGCAAATTCTTCTTGTTTCCTTTACCAGTGGCATATCTGGGAGTCTTAAAATGGGAGACTGGTCGTGGGGAGGGCGGGGGGAGGGGGGTGAAGGTTACGGTGGTGGCCGTGGGGGCCCTTGATGATTAAGTGAAGGGCACTACCTCACAAAGTAGGGAGACGTGAGGTGATTATCATCTACTTGAGCGAGTTTTTTTTTTGCGTCATACATTTTATATATGCATGTGCATTTTCCTAGGTACGATACGTCACTGCTTTTTACCAATTATGAAATCCTATATATTGAATGATATATTTATTGAAATATATGACCTTGACTAATGTATACATAAATGATATGTAGCATAATACCAAACATACAATATAAAAAATATTTATAATTTCTAAAAGTAGCACAGTAACTATTATCATTTACAATCATTATATAAGTTTTTTGTAGAACACAAGTACAGTAGAACCAATATAGAGGACACATTTGGGAGCAAAAAAGTGATCTCAGATATAGGGATGTGCTGTAGTATTAAAAGATATATTTTCTCTCAGTTGTAGCAGAAAAAAATGTCCCTTTAATAAGGGTTTCCCTTGAATAGGGTTAGCCATGGCATTAAAAGATATACTTTTCCTCATTTTGGATACAAAAAGTGTACCTTTAAAAGGGGTGCCCCAAAGGTAGGGGGTTCTACTGTATTAAAATTTAGATAGACAATACATATTCATATATCAGAGAAGCACATAGTAATAATAATGAGAGGAAACATGCTCTGCAATCAAGCATGCTATACTACTTCCTATTACAATCTTGCATAGAAATGACAATCTGGACTTTTAAGACTTACTTATTTATTTATTAACTTTCAACTTTCTTCTACACAGAGGACTTCATCAGGAAACTGGAATCTTGTGTAATGTATTCTTTCATATTGTGGTCCAGTTTTGGCAAAAAAAACCTCTGAATTTTAAATTTTTAATCAGAAGAGTTGCCACTTTACTATTACTGTAAACACAACCAACCTCACCATTTATTAATACAATCATCAAATGCCCACTCTAACCTTTATTATTATGATTTAATACTTGGTCTGTATGGTATTCAACTAGTGGAAAGGTATGCAGGGGTGTATCCAGGACTTTTTCTGGTTGGGTTGTGATCATAATTTTTTAGACCTTTTCACGATGAAATAACAGCATGATTGATTATAATGTCAATACAATTTGCTTGAAGCAGAGTGCAGGCTTAGTTTCAGAATTGCTAGAATTGTGATAGATTACGGCACGCAATTTGCAAGGTCTTTGTGGTACCTCATCAATGCTTTTTCATTTATGTGATTGTGAAAAGGCCCTAGAAAAAAATGTCTTTGGAAAAAATGTGCACCTTTGAAAATTTTGTGGCGGTTGTACAACCTTCCCGACCACCCCTTGCATACACCCATGGTATAAATGCTAACTAATTTTAAAGAAAGACTAGAAAGATGAATTAAAGTTCTGTATTTTTCAAATTATTCGTAACTTTAAAAAAAATCAAGTAATAACATTTTTATTGTTGATATTAATTTATTTTCTTTAATTAGGTGAAATGTTTAATAATTCATCCCACTTCCTGCTGTAAAACGTATAGAGTTATTTTACATTGCGCTGTAAGTTCACAGTTAGTATTAATTTTTTATTATAGAAAGCTATACCACTATACTTTATAGTTCTATATTTTTTTTTACCAATTATATCACCAAGGGGATACTCTTAAGTCCATTGAAGAAATTTAGTAATAATAATAATAATAATAATAATAATAATAATTTAAGGATGATGCTCTATAAGTACAGATCTACAGTTTTTTTTACTAAATTGCAGGTTTCTATTGTAGTTGCTTTTTTTGGTTAATTGTCAAACAGATAGTTATTAGCAGGTTTGATGATGATATTAAAAAGTTATGTTCTTGTTTTTCATGAGCATTTCTTTTTTTATTAAAAAAGAATTTTATGATTTATATGTTTTCAGTTGTTAGATTTTTATGATTTAAATGTTTTCAGTTGTTCTATGTTTTATTGTAGCAATTTCCAGTATTTACAGCATTTATTTTGAAAAGATACTTTGTCTTTAGTTTGCAAAAGTAATCTTGAAAAGAAGCCCAACCTGCAGTTTTAAATAAAAAGAATCCTATGGACTTTTTGAGGTATTACTGTACGGTAGCTAATAGTTAAATATTTTTATTGTGTTGTTTCCCTTGTTTGCTACTGCAACTGACCGTGGATGGTATGAGATTATTGATAATCCATATGGATTTTTGATTCCATCCTCGTCTTTATCAATTCTTTTAATGAAATTTCCATCGCTACTAAATAGCTGCAGTTTGTGTTCACTTGATATAATGATGTTGTCGTCCGCATCCACTACTATTCCGCATGGCTTCCACATCTTATCTGCTTTGACTAGGTTTTTTATGAATACACCCCTATTATCATGTACTTGTAATATAAACCTGTCCAACCAATAATGTCCAACATTGTAATATACTAATAGACTCTTCGGATCACGTAATGCAATCATGTCTCCTCCCTTTGTCATTGTAACATCAGAGATGCTGCATCCTGATCGTAAAGTCTTCATTTTTTTACCACTGTCAATGTCAAACACATGGATGTTATTCTTATCTGCTACATACACAGTATTTGATGTCTCATCCACATGGATTCCTTTGGGATTTTTCAGTTCTCCCTTAACAATTGATTTGATCACCTGACCATCCATAGCAATGAAAGTGATGCATTTACTACCACTATCACTAAATGCTATGGCATTCTTCATCTTGTACATTCTGTTGACTTTTACACCAGCTGGTAATGTTATCTTATCAACATACTCCCCTGATTGCTTGTACCTGAAAATGTCTTCTGTGCGACAAGAAACTCGCAAGCAATTAAATTCACCCATAACTACATCTGAAACAATTTCTTGGTTTATTTTAATGGTATTAACTAGGCCTTTCTTCTCAACTTTGAATGTCATTGGTGCCTGTTTGATTAGTTTACCATCAACTGGCTGACCTTGGGTCACATCTTCCCCTTCCCTTAATTCTAGAGAGTCTACTGCCATCATTTGTGTTACTTTTTCGATATCACAATGCTGTTGCAACAGAGACATTTCATGTTTGTTAATATAGAAGTAAATTTGTCCATTATCATTTGGCTCTGTTTTTGGAATTTCTTTGATTCTCTCCTTCAGTGCTGTAATCACCATTTCACTTGATTGCATCGCTGTTGCTTCATCACTCTTCAATAATTGATTGAGATAACTTAATTTTGTACTAACATCAGATATAGTTATTCTCAGTTCATCCATTTGTTTATTTTTTACATTTTTTTTCTTTTTGTAGATTGTCTCTACTTCATTTTTCATTTCATCACCTTTCTCCATGATTTTTTTTACTATCTCTTGCACAAGATTATCAATATCTCTCAAACTGGTTTCTTTACTTTGTTCAAATTTGGCATCATTTTGAAGAACTGCTCTGAGGCCTTCCTTTAAAATGTCTCTGTAATGGTTCACTTCATCTCTCAATTCCATAGCAGTTTTTTGGAACTTTTGAAATGCTTCTGTAATTGTAATTGATTTGTGCTTACCTTCCATTCTTTGTGGTCCATAAATGCACAAGTAATGCATGTTGGAATCTTACAATCTGCATTTATACAGTAGAACTCTAAAGGCTCATTATATTTGTACTTTTTTGTGCAGTGGTCCATTTACAGATTATATGCTTTTGTTAGAATTATTTTGATGTTCATTGACACATAATAATGTGTTTCTATTGAAGTATATTTACCCACATAATAGAAACCTCTAAATAAACAATATACTACAGTTAATAATATAATTCTATGAAGATTCTTGATATTTCCTTTACCAGTGGCATATCTGGGAGTCTTAAAATGGGAGACTGGTCGTGGGGAGGGCGGGGGGAGGGGGGTGAAGGTTACGGTGGTGGCCCTTGATGCTGTC